ATCCCAAAGTATTATTTGCAAGCAAGTTTAAGAGATAGCGTCTCTCATTTTAAAAACCAAACACTGTTTAAAAATTAGAGCCAGTAGAGTGGTCAGGTGATTGGAACAGGGTTGGAGAGTGCCAGGTTCAAACCCTATTCAGTCACAGAATCAGAGAACTGTAGAGTTGGAAGGGAACCCTGAGGATCATCTAGTCCAACCCCCTGCAATGCAGGAATATGCAGCTGTCCATACAAAATTGAACCTGCAACCTTGGCATTATCAGCTTCATGGTCTGACCGGCTGAGCTATCCAGCTGGCAAAGAAGAGATCCTTTAGGGATTGAACCCCACAAGGCAAACACCACAGAACAGTTGCCTTACCACTGAGCCACAGCAGCAATCAATGGGAGTTCCTTCAGATGACCAACTTACTGAGCATTAATCCTGATTTGTTTGCACCAGGCTTATGCAGTGGTTAGACTACATCTGGTCTTTACTGAGAATCCATTTTGTTGGTGGGGTAATCATATAACAATGTGCATTCATCCTGTTTAAATTGCAGGGTGTTTACACATCTTTCCACAAATAATTTGTTCATTCCACACTTTTCAGGGCATTTCCCCGTCACTTTCCTAACTGCAAAAAGTCCATGTTGTGTGTGTGGTTCTGGTTTTAACTTGCACTAGGGCAACAAAGCACTTTATTCCATAACTGTGAGCTGCACAAATCTAAATTTCTGGTATGGGCTTCAGTCCCTTCCACAAAATACTTGGCAGTCTCGTGGCAATCTGGGGCCCTTGATCTAGTCACTCACTCACTCATTCTCAGCTTGACCTAACTCAAAGGATTATTGTGATGCTTAAAAATAAAAATAAAAAGTGGGGTGGAGGAAGAGAGCCAGGGCCACTGTCTTGAGCTAACAGGGTTTCCCAAACTTGGGTGGCCAGCTCCTGTTTTGGACTATAACTCTCATAATCCCTAGCTAGCATGACCAGGGGTCAGGGGCGAGGTCCAAAAACAGCTGGAGACATAAGTTTGGGAAACCCTAAGCTAGAAACTAGGGCATGGGTGGCGCTGTGGGTTAAACCACAGAGCCTAGGGCTTGCCGATCAGAAGGTCAGCGGTTCAAATCCCCGTGAAGGGGTGAGCTCCCATTGCTCGGTCCCTGCTCCTGCCCACCTAGCAGTTCGAAAGCACATCAAAGTGCAAGTAGATAAATAGGTACAGCTCCGGCGGGAAGGTAAACGGTGTTTCTGTGCACTGCTCTGGTTTGCCAGAAGCGGCTTAGTCATGCTGGCCACATGACCCGGAAGCTGTACGCCGGCTCCCTCGGCCGATAAAGTGAGATGAGCGCCGCAACCCCAGAGTCGGTCACGACTCGACCTAATGGTCAGGGGTCCCTTTACGTTTACCTTTAAGCTAGAAGAAAGGTTAGATACAGAAACGAATACACTAAACTCTAAACTCCCCAAAGTTCCTACAAGCAATTGGGAAAGATATGACACACAGCAGAGGTAAACACCCTCAGGGAAATAGAGTGATCAAATTTCAAGGTGCTCTTGCGCTCAAAACAGGTAATAGCCTCTCCTTACACGTTTCTGGGCAGATTGTGTGCAGTACAGCGTATGGGACTCTTCCCCAGCTGACATTGCCGGAAGGCAGTTAATATCCTTCAACCTTCTTCTCAAATGCCCATTTCTTTCTTTGCATGTTGTTTTCCAAGTTCCCTCCCTCCGTCCCCCCACCTCCTTCCTTGTGAGTACATTTCGCAGCGAGGCAAAGTTTGTTCTCGCGCAGCAAAACAGCACCAACTCCGAAGAGGTATGGGGAGAAGGAGTTTCTGCGGGTGCAGCTTCTGGCGCCCTGTCGTGTCAAGCAGCAGCAAAAATAAAAACCTCTTTCCCAGTTCTAATAACAAGAAGAAATCCCTACCCTACACGTCCACAGGTGCTTATTGCCACCCGGGAGCAGGGAGCTGTACCCCCAGAAATCCCCTCTTTTTTCATGCTTTGTTGACGACCCCGGAACAAACTCGGCTAGGCGATCCGTGTGCAGAAGCAGCTTCGCCGCCTCTGCGTCTCCAGGGTCCCCCTGGAAGGGTCTCCTTCCCGCAGCAAAAGCATCCCGGAGAGCAAGGAAGGACCAGCGCGAAGATTCTCACCTGCATCTCTTTGATGTTCTCCATCGGCGCGATGGGCTGAGTTGGTCTGGGATGCTGCGCTTGGGAGCCCAACTTGCTCGCGGCGGCGGCGGCCGACGCTTGGCGACCCCCTTCCCCCTTCTCCATCGCTGGCCTTGGAGAGAGAGAGAGAGAGAGAGAGAGAGAGAGAGAGAGAGAGAGAGAGAGAGAGAGAGAGAGAGAGAGAGAGAGAGAGAGAGAGAGAGACCGCGCAAAGCGCCTCCTGCCGCTGCCCACTTGGCTGAAGCGCCAGCTACCCGGGCCTGTTTGCTGCCGCTGCTGTTTCCATGGTGAGCCTTGAATCCTCAGACACTTTGCAAGGCGGCTGCTGCTGCTGCTCTTTCTTGCTTCTCCCCCAACCCGCTTTTCTTGGCCTGCCTCTGAGCTGCCCCTTCCCCAAACATTCCTAGTGAATCCTCAAAAAAGGCCTGTCTATCAAATGCAAACTTTTTTTTTAAATGCTGCTTGCACACACCCCCAACAAAAACATGCAACCTTTCTCTATTTCTTATTATTCCTTTGCCTGCCTCTGAGCTATTTCTCTCCCCACCAGGTTGCTGGAGAACCTACAGCCTGGGAAATAGCCTGTTCTGCCAAGTGCATCCATGTGTTTTATAGATAGATAGATAGATAGATGATAGATAGATAGATAGATGATAGATAGATAGATAGATAGATAGATATAGATATCTTTATTGTCATTGTCCCATACAGAACAATGAAATTGAAAAACTACATAAAACATTCAAAAACCCCTAAAAACTCTGAAACCCCATTTTAAAATACTCTATACTATACTATAAAATACACTATACTATAGAGACCCCTTATGCTGCGTTTAGAACCAGAATTGCATTTGCGTAGAAACTGTTTCTCAGGCGACTAGTCTTGGCCTTTATAACCCTATACCTTCTTCCAGAAGGCAGAAGCTGAAAGAGATCATTTCCGGGGTGCATACTATCCTGCGCTATCTCTGCTGCTTTCTTATGGCACCTGGCAGCATAGATTTGATCTAAGGTGGGAAGAGTGCACCCAGTTATTCTCTCTGCAATAGATAGATGATAGATAATTTTTATTAAATTTTCTGTTTTTTCACTATTTCAAATACTCATTTTACATCCTTAAGCTGTCAAGAACTTCCCTTCTTCTCTTTCCATGGTTCATTTTACATACCATAAATCCCTGCATATTTTACAAAAACTGTACCATTCAGTATTCCATTATTGCATCCATCAAAACTTATTTACACTGTTTGATTTATCTTAACGCTGCCAGCATTTTCAGCTGTGCACAATTATTTCCCATATATTCAATAAACGCCCAATCTTCTTTAAACGTATGTTCTCCTTATTCTCTTATTCTATATTGTGAAGTCTGCAAGTTCTGCATATTCTGTCAACTTATACCAAGCGCATCCATTGCTTTGTCCACAGACTTGCAAGAATTCCAGCTATGCGCCTGCAACATTTTCATGCTGCTTCTGGCCACCACTACAGCCTCCTCCCCATTGCAAATCTGCTTAGCAACGTCAATGAGATTTCAAAGTCCTGACCAACCCTTAGGAAGCTGCAGGTGGAGGCTCTGAAAGCGACCTACCCCCCCCCCCCGCCCCCAGCGCCAGCTCTCCATGTACCTTCTGGCCTGGAACTGGAAATACAATCCAGCCAAGTCAAAATTTTCATTGATTAGTTGGGATCAAAAGCGTGTGTTTCAGTCTCTTGTTTTTTAAATCAATGCACACTTCACTGGGTTCTTCACTCTTCCCAGAAGGAAGGCGTGAGCCACAGAGTAGGAAGAAAGAGGCAGGGAACTTGCATACCTCCTTTGGAAATCAAAACATGCAAGACTCTTCAAAGTGCTGTCACCAGACAAAGCAGAAAGCAGCACTGAAAAAGAAGATTTAGAAGCCTCTGGAATTTAATATTTCTCTCCTAACGTTTTTCATTTTAGCAGGATGAGGGTCTGTGTTGATTTGCTGAAGAATGAACAGACAAACGCACACCACTGACACCAGGATTCCTGTGCAGCGCAGAGGATTTGGTGATGTATTCCAGGCCACATTTTCAGGTCCTATGACTGATAACTTACCATATTTTTCGCTCCATAGGGGACACCGGACCATAGGGCGCACCTAGTTTTTAGAGGAGGAAATAAAGGGAAAAAAATTTATCCCCCCCGAGCCCCAAAGAGCAAAGAAGCCAAGACAGCTGGCTGTCTTGGCTTCCTCTTTAGCCATGCACAACCTCTCCAGTCGGGAGAGGCTGTGTGCGGCTTCGTTTTTAGCCGCGGGGCTGGGGCGGGGGAAGCCCAAGCTTCCCCCGACCCCAGCCCCCAGAACAGGTCCGGGAGCGGAGGCAAGGTTGCGCAGCCTTGCCGCCGCTCCTGGAGCTTGCAGGCTGGGGGAGCGCTCCAAAGGCTTGTGGATAGCTTCCTGAAGCCTGGAGAGTGAAAGGGGTCAGTGCGCACCGACCCCTCTTGCTCTCCAGGCTTCAGCGAAAGCCTGCATTCGCTCCATAGGACGCACACACATTTCCCCTTCATTTTTGGAGGGGGGAAAGTGCGTCCTATAGAGCGAAAAATACGGTAACTGCCCCAGGGTAGATCTCTCCCTCTCAAGTGGCAAAACTGTGCATCAGGTGGAGAAGTGTGATAGTCCAGCTAAGGAGGACCTTACATCTGATGATATATTATGCCATAATAAATATATAGTAGCCATCTACCGTATTATTAATTATTATTAATATATTATGCCATAAGAAATGTGTTTAATATAAAAAGGATAAAATAAAATCATTAATTTAGAAAAAGTTAAAAACAACAATTTAAAACCTTTTTTATAAAAAGATCAACAATTGTCAGTAAAGCATGAGACTCTTAATCTCAGGATTGTGGGTTCAAGCCCCACGTTGGACAAAAAGATTCCTGCATTTGCAGGGGTTTGGACTAGATAACCCCCATGGTCCTTCAAACCACAATTCTATTATTCTAATAAGCTAAAAACCAGATGAGCACTCATGTAAACATTCTACATGTCTTCAGTACCAGGCTATTTTGTGCCCTGGAAAAAGCTATCTACTTGCACACACACACACACCCCAACATTTGCTAATTTCAATTTTCAAAAACAGATGTCTTGTGGGGGGAATGAAAAGCACAAAACTTGAGACCGCTGCATTTATTTTAAATTGCAAGAATAAGTGGGTTTATGTCCAGGGCTCTCTTTTGTACACCACTCGAATTCGACTATGGGGTGCAGAGCTCATCTCTGCTTTCAGGCCGAGGGAGACGGTGTTTGTCCGCAGACAATTTCTGAGTCATGTGACCAGCATGACTAAATCACTTCTGGCACAACAGGACACTGTGACGGAAACCAGAGTGCATGGAAACGCCATTTACCTTCCCGCCACAGTGGTACCTATTTATCTACTTGCACTGGTGTGCTTTCGAACTGCCAGGTTGGCAGGAGCTGGGACAAAGCAACAGGAGCTCACTTCATCACACAGATTCGAACTGTCAACCTTACAATCGGCAAGCTCAAGAGGCTTGGTGGTTTAGACCACAGCACCACCAACGTCCCTCTCTTGCAATAACCTCAGGCTCAGACATCTAATTATCTATTGGTTTCATCACATCAACATAATGTACCGTCATTGTCATTTGATCGAGCATTCTAACATATGGAATAGCTGCTGTATTAATGACAGCCAAGGGAGGAGCCTGATGGAGTTGATATTCCAACATGCTGATGGTAAAAGGTAAAGGACCCCTGGATGGTTAAGTCCAGTCAAAGGCGTCTATGGGGTTGCGGCGCTCATCTCGCTTTCAGGCCAAGGGGGCTGGCGTTTGTCCACAGACAGCTTTCCAGGTCATGTGGCCAGCATGAATAAACCACTTCTGGCACAACAGAACACCGTGACGAAAACCAGAGCACATGGAAATGCTGTTTACCTTCCCACCACAGCGGTACCTATTTATCTACTTGCACTGGCGTGCTTTCGAACTCCTAGGTTGGCAGGAGCTGGGACAGAGCAATGGGAGCTCACCCCATCACAGGGATTCAAACCGCCGACCTTCCGATCAGCAAGCCCAAGAGGCTCAGTGGTTTAGACCACAGTTCCACCCGCCTCCCTCTCCTCTAGCCTGATAGAATGGTTGCAGTAGATGGCAATGACAACGTAGACAATTTCAGGTCCAGGGAAAGTCTATGCTTTTCAGCCTGCGGTGATACATCAGGCATTTGTCAGCACCTGTCAATCCCAGTGCAAGCTCACTGGGGAAAACTAAGCCCTCTCAGTCCAAAAATCATCTCTCTGCCCTTCTGTTCCAACAAGCATAGACACATCCGACACAGTGGCTTGGTGTTTCAAGGCCAGCTTTGGAGCCTCTGAAGGCAAGTTCACGCTACCTAGCAAACATTTGGGGATCCCTAAATTGTTCCTCTTAAAAGCCTGGTTCTCAGGTCCATCTAGAAAGGCAACAGAGCCTATGTGTTTTTAAAAAGCGGTGTTACAGGGGAAACTCTTAATTTCAGAGACTTTGCAGACTAACCACTAGAGGGAGAAGAGGATCCCAGCAGGAGAGCAATCTGTAGCTATGTCACAATTCAACACCACAGTTCCTGATTTAGTGACAATAGTAGCCCTTTTCTGCTGTTCTTTCAATGGGGGGGGGAGCAGGATTCTACTCACTGCCGCCTTTCCTGTGTTCATTGCAGGAAAGGAATAGAACCTACTTGTATACAACTATGCTTAAAAAGGTAAAGGTAAAGGTAAAGGGACCCCTGACCATTAGGTCCAGTCGTGGCCAACTCTGGGGTTGCGGCACTTGTCTCGCTTTATTGGCTGAGGGAGCCAGCGTACAGCTTCCGGGTCATGTGGCCAGCATGACTAAGCCGCTTCTGGCGAACCAGAGCAGCGCATGGAAACGCCGTTTACCTTCCCACTGGAGTGGTACCTATTTATCTACTTGCACTTTGACGTGCTTTCGAACTGCTAGGTTGGCAGGAGCTGGGACCGAACAACGGGAGCTCACCCCATTGCGGGGAGTCGAACCGCCGACCTTCTGATCGGCAAGCCCTAGGCTCTGTGGTTTTGACCACAGGGCCACCCAAGTCCCTTCTTTCAGTTTAGTAATAAGTTGTAATTCAGCAACTTCTCTTTCAAGTCTATTTCTGAAATTCTTTTGTAATAAAACAGCTGCTCTGAGATCTTGTATTGAATGTCCTGGGAGACTGAAGTGTTCTCCTACTGGTTTCTCTGTCTTGTGACTCCTGGTGTCAGATTTATTTTCATTTCTCCTTCTGAGAAATACCCTACCCCACCCTCCCACTATATATAAGGGTCTGGTGACTTCTGTTTCAGAGCATCTGAAGAAGTGTGCATGCACACGAAAGCTCATACCCAGAACAAACTTAGTTGGTCTCTGAGGTGCTACTGGGCAATTTTTAAAATTTTTTATTTATTTTGACTGTGTCAGACCAACACAGCTACCTACGTGAAGGTATGAGGCAGAATCAGATGGAAGACATCTGTTTGGAGATTATTGTACTTGGCCCAATTGAGGAGTAAAAGGTTTTGAGCACTGTTTTAAGGAGATACCACAAACTCTTAACCATCATTGATGAGCCGAGGGGATGGCCTTGCCTTTGTTGCTTCCCTGATGTCTCTTGACAAGGAAGGCATGCCGTTAATGGCAATCGTGTTAAACAAGAACGGGCCTGGAGAAGCGAAAGCTTCTCTGAAATGGAGCTCATAAACTGCTAATTTGTTTCATGGTTTTCCCCATATTCTGCATGACATTAACGCCGCGTAGAAGCTGCCAAGAGAAACCAGTGCTGAATAGCTACTCAAGCCTTTTTGAATTATAAATATATCAGTTCGTTTTTCAACTTGGACTGAGCTCATCCTGAAGGAATGAGACTCTTCTGCCTGGTCCAACACTGCCCTCAAGAGGCTTTTCCTCACCCTTATACCAATTTGAATTTAAAGCCGTTCTGCTCAGATGTTTCTGGGGAAGGCTGCTCAGACATGGATGTTAGATGGATGCAGTTGCTTTGAGAGCAATTGTTGTTGTTGTTAATTAAATTTGTATACTGCCCTTCGTCCGAAGATCACAGAGCAATTCACATCCTAGAAACACAAAAATACATATTAAAACAAAAACAAACCAATAGCTCCCCTCATATTCCTCTGCCCCTGTATGATTCATCCTAAAAATGAAATGATAGTACCTATTTTTATTTATTTATTATGTGGGCCCTTGCCTGCCTCAGCCTCCTGGAGAGCCCTGCCCGCTGCTCCCTATGCCTCAGAGCCCGCCATGTTTGTGGAGACGAGATACCTCTGGCTTTGGTGATGGGTCCTAATGCTCTGGTTCCTGTGAGCTGACCCTCATCCCCTCGTCATCCTCCATCGCCCCATGAATACTTCCTATACCAACTTCTCCTTCCCAATCCCCAGATTGCCCCAGTGTGCTCGAGTCCTTGGCAGGATGCTCTTCCTCCTCCCCATTGTCCTGCCAGTTTGTGACCTAAGCCATGGTTTAGTGTTATAGGAACAAGTGTGCACATGCCTTGGTCCCATGCACTGCCTCCTCTCCTCTTTAAAACACATAAGGATGAGATTGAAAGCTTTTGTTTCCACCTTAGAACTAAGCCCTTTTCCCTGTGAATTGTGAGCTCTGGAAACAGTGGCTTGTCATACTTAACAAACCAGGGTATCAAACTATGACGTGATCCTGATCTGTTTTGGCTACAGAACAAACCACAGTTCCTTGAGTTTGGATATCACAGGGAACAATGGTTAGTTCTAAAGTTGGATGTTTTTGGTCTCCTCTTTACACAAATAAAGGGGATGGGCGGATTCATAATGCCAAGACTCATAGTGAGCAGAGGTCAGCAAACTTTTTCAGCAGGGGGCCGGTCCACTATCCCTCAGACCTTGTAGGGGGCCGGACTATATTTTGAAAAAATAATAATTATGCAAGAGCACCACGAGCCCAGGTGGCTGCTTACAATATGATAATCTTTATTGTCATTGTCCCATACAGAATAACGAAATTGAAAAAATCTACATCAGACATGCAAAAACCAACAAGCCTGCTAGCCCAGGTATCCCAGCCTGGTTAACCCCCTAAAAACTCTGATACCCCATAATTGAATACAATATACTCCCACAGAGACTACCTTACACTGCATTTAAAACAAAAATTGCATTTGGATAAAAACTGTTTCTCAGGCAGCTAGTCCTAGTCTTTATAACCCTGTACCTTCTTCCAGAAGGCAGGAGATGAAAGAGATTATTTCCAGGGTCTTGCAAGCGGCAAGGGCTGGCGGCGGCGGAGGGACAATAAACAGCGCATGAAAGGGCTCCGGAGAGGGGCTGCTTAAAATGGTGGCCGCTCGAGCGCTGCTGTTGCTGGCACCAACAAAGCCCAGCCCCCTTCCTCCTCTAGGCAGGGCGGGGAGAAGCCAAGAGGAGGGAGGGAGAGGGAAAGAACGTGCAGGCTGGCGATCCACGCAGCGATTCCCAGACCATCCTCAGGCCGGATCCAGAGGGCAATTGGGCCTGATCCAGCCCGCAGCCCTTAGTTTGCCTACCCATGTGCTAAACCATGTTATGCGTCGACCACAGCCTAAGGAGTTCTATGCAGTTGGTGGGTTGTTCATTAAACTACAGATAAGCTTGCTCACACCCACATAGTTCACCATAATATTGGCTCTTGAAGGGTTGCACTCCTGCCAACAAAAGTGGATAGCAAAATCACATCAATATGCATCCTCAGCCTTTGTGTAAGGCACTGCTTCCCAATTCTAAAAATATAACTTAGCAAATTCCTATATGGCCTAGGACTGGAACTGTTTGAGCTCCCTCCTTCCATCTAGAATGGAAGTAGCTGTTAGTAGGTGGGATACA